GTGGTGCTTTAAGATCTCTGGCCCCTGGCCTTGATATGAACGACGCTTTTAGATCTCCGACCCCGATTTTGGGTTTCTTTGCGGGCGGCTTGAGCGCCGATGTTGCAGCAGCGGTGGAGGTCTGTTCTGGTGTGCGCCACATTGACGGCCTTTCGAGCGCCAGTGACAGACGTGGTGTTGTACGCGCTGAGTTACCAATCGTTGGTGCGATAGTGGTTTTCATGTGGTGGTGGTGGTGTTGGCGGTGCTTGTGATGGCGTTGTGGCGGGTTAGGTAGTGTTTGTAACCAAGTATTGTCGTGGAATGGGATCTAGATTCGGTGTGGTGTTACGGTAGTGTGGTGATTGTGGTGGTATGGTGCAAGCATCTATTGGGTGGTTGTAATTTGTGGCCAAGATTGGTGCTGAATTGGGATCGGTGTAGTGGGGTGTTTGGAATCTGTGACCAACTATTTAGTCGTCTGTGACCAACTATTTTCGCTGATTTGACACCAAAAATTAGGTGTTTGTGACTAAAAAATAAATTGTGATCAATAAACTGTGACCTGTGTGACTTATAGATAAAATGTGACCTGTAATTTGAATAATTTGTGACCTAAAAATAAATCTGTGATCTACAAAAATTTTGATTTGTGAAATCGAAATAATATGTGACCAATTAATTTAATGATACGTGACAAATAAATAAATCCATGACTGATAATTATGAATCTGTGACTATTAATTATATAACAGTGATTTTATTATATTTAATTAATAAATATTTTAAATTAATTATACACATACCTGAATTTTGATCTTTTAAACTATTAACTTGAATTTTGAATTGGTTGCGTTTTTATCAACATAGAGATATAGTGGGTAAAGCTAATCAACTAAGGTTATTTTCGTTTGAGAGAGGTAACTAACTAAAATTGAAAAATCGGATCTAACGTTGTAGCTTGGTAATTTACAATTTTAGTTTATTGAAATAGTAATGAAACGACGATCAAATGATATCGTAAATCCCAATCCATTTAAAATCCAAAATCATTTTACTCTCACAATTATTAATTTAATTAAAGTTTAAAATTATTTTCTTTTCATTTCTAATTTCAAGTATTTTAATTGTGTGCGTCTTTATCGTTAATTTGAATCAATTATCATGTAATTTGAAGAAACACTCTTCAAGGGATTGACTTAGACTCAATATCCATTTTATTACTTGAACGCACCCATGCACTTGCGATTTATAATTTTGGCGAACAAACATTAAAGGCCTTTTTGAAATGAACAATTTAGAACCAATTTTGCTACATTGTTAAACCAATTCGAAACCAATTGAGTGTGAATACTTTTGGACAAAAATGAACAGTAAATATGGATTGCCTTTTTAAGTGAAGGTAATAAGATAAGATTCATATCCGACCTTAAATTATGTATCAGAACTCTTCATTCCATCCATTCGGATCATTAAATGATGCAAATGCCCTCGTCTTTAAATAAATAAAAATAATTGAAAGTAACTAAAAAAATAAAAAAATTGACAGAGGTAGTCATATAACTTTTAAAAA